TATATATATATATATATTTCTTTTTTTATTTTCTGCTGTTATATTTTCTACGAAATGTTACTTGCTTCAAGATAGGTTAAGTCCAAATTGTACAGATAAAAATAGAATAGAGTTGTATCCAGTTTTATGCAGTTTCCTGATCAATCCGTTTATATCAATCCGCTAAATCCCATCTATTCCTCATGCGTAAAATTTCACGTACATTGTATTACAAAATCACGTTCTTATTCCCTATAAATGAAACTGCCGCGCATAAGTCATATCTCTATATTCCGTGGCCGCTGGATTTGCGCCGACAAACTCACCGAAGATTTTTACATTCGACTTTCCCCGAGATATCCCGGTATATACGTCGAACCCGCGTCACCGTGAATCGAAATCGTCGTAAATCGTCGACCGGGGCAGCCCGCAACCCGACCGCGCGCAATAATTAACGCGCCCGAACTCGTAATTGATTGTCTCGCTGATTTACCGAGTCGCACAATTAATCGGACATGAGTTATCGGCGCGAATACCGACCGATAAACGAGAGTTTAATTATCGCTCCTCTAATTACGACTTACGAGGAGCGAAGGAGGGACAGAGAGAGAGAGAGAGAGAGAGAGAGAGAGAGAGAGAGAGAGAAGAAGAACGACACGTTAGTTGGAAAAGTTTTCGGCGTGAATCGGCAAACTGAGTAGTATTAACTGCGTTGAAGGATGTTTCGAGAGAGAGAGAAAGAGAGAAAAGAAGAGAACTAGAGAGAAAAAGAGAACTAGAAAAAGAAAAAGAGAAAAACCGAATGGGAGATCAAATGAAAGAATCACTGTGGGAGGATGGGATAAGAGATGAGGAGGCAAGAGAGGGTGGCAAGAAGTTGACGGAGGATGGAAGTGGCGTAAAACGGGAAAGTATCGAAGAGGGAGAGAGAGTGGAAGCTGAAAGGGTGAAGAGGGAGGGTGGGAAAGAAGTGGCAGAGACTTACATTTCCCACGGGGTATCCCTGCTGCTCCTAGACTCCTTACTTACGGATTGATACTCAATTTCCACCGAGTTTAGCCCCCATCGAGGGATCATTGCGCCAGATCGCGAAAGCTCCTTTCGATTTCGAATAAATTCGATAATAGCGAATAGGGAGTTGCAGCAGCGGCGGCAGCAGCAGCTTGGAGGGGGCGCGAGGTTGATAGTACCATGATCGTTTTTGCCTTAATCGAGCGAACTAGGCACCAGCTTAGTCATCGACCAATCCATGGCATTGTTGCACCTCGCTCGCGTACGTGGGAATGCTGCGATTTGCAGAACCAAAAGAGAGAAAGAGAGAGAGAGAGAGCGTTGGTACGATTATGCGACCGGGCGATAAAGTGGATTGAAAGAATTTATGTGGATCTCTGCGCGCATGAGAATCGAATCGTGCTACGTGTGTTACAGGTGATTGCGAAGCGCATTGTGCAGCTGCTCTTTCGTTCTTCAAAGAGAGAGTGCCCTATCGAGAAAAAAGTTATACCGTTCTAATGATATTATTTAGTGATCTATTTTGCACACATTGTAGCATAAATAGTAAAATTATTGGAAAATCATTCGTTGAAAAATTTATCTAATAAAATGCACACATTTTTCGCTTAATTTTACATAAATTTTATCATAATGAGACATTTGAAAAATTCTTTATTTAATATTAAATATACCAATTTTATTATAAAATTTGCAGCACACAAAGGGAGAAATTAAAATTAATAATATCAAAATTAACGCTATATTTCGTACGATATACATTTTTCATTGGGTCTAGAACTGCCAAATACGTCCCGCTAACTTAAGAAAGTCGTAGACAAGTTGATCCTCGCGCGCGACTTGGACATTTACATCGAAACGACCTTCACATTACAGTCATTATCGCAATCAAGAAGTCGGTATGGGTCGCGTTTCTCCGGGATTGCGAAGAGCGAAAGGAGAACGCTCGAACATTGCCGACTTACTTACTAATGAATCCCGAGAGAGAGAGAGAGAGAGAGAGAGAGAGAGAGAGAGAGAGAGAAGAAGAACGACACGTTAGTTGGAAAAGTTTTCGGCGTGAATCGGCAAACTGAGTAGTATTAACTGCGTTGAAGGATGTTTCGAGAGAGAGAGAAAGAGAGAAAAGAAGAGAACTAGAGAGAAAAAGAGAACTAGAAAAAGAAAAAGAGAAAAACCGAATGGGAGATCAAATGAAAGAATCACTGTGGGAGGATGGGATAAGAGATGAGGAGGCAAGAGAGGGTGGCAAGAAGTTGACGGAGGATGGAAGTGGCGTAAAACGGGAAAGTATCGAAGAGGGAGAGAGAGTGGAAGCTGAAAGGGTGAAGAGGGAGGGTGGGAAAGAAGTGGCAGAGACTTACATTTCCCACGGGGTATCCCTGCTGCTCCTAGACTCCTTACTTACGGATTGATACTCAATTTCCACCGAGTTTAGCCCCCATCGAGGGATCATTGCGCCAGATCGCGAAAGCTCCTTTCGATTTCGAATAAATTCGATAATAGCGAATAGGGAGTTGCAGCAGCGGCGGCAGCAGCAGCTTGGAGGGGGCGCGAGGTTGATAGTACCATGATCGTTTTTGCCTTAATCGAGCGAACTAGGCACCAGCTTAGTCATCGACCAATCCATGGCATTGTTGCACCTCGCTCGCGTACGTGGGAATGCTGCGATTTGCAGAACCAAAAGAGAGAAAGAGAGAGAGAGAGAGAGCGTTGGTACGATTATGCGACCGGGCGATAAAGTGGATTGAAAGAATTTATGTGGATCTCTGCGCGCATGAGAATCGAATCGTGCTACGTGTGTTACAGGTGATTGCGAAGCGCATTGTGCAGCTGCTCTTTCGTTCTTCAAAGAGAGAGTGCCCTATCGAGAAAAAAGTTATACCGTTCTAATGATATTATTTAGTGATCTATTTTGCACACATTGTAGCATAAATAGTAAAATTATTGGAAAATCATTCGTTGAAAAATTTATCTAATAAAATGCACACATTTTTCGCTTAATTTTACATAAATTTTATCATAATGAGACATTTGAAAAATTCTTTATTTAATATTAAATATACCAATTTTATTATAAAATTTGCAGCACACAAAGGGAGAAATTAAAATTAATAATATCAAAATTAACGCTATATTTCGTACGATATACATTTTTCATTGGGTCTAGAACTGCCAAATACGTCCCGCTAACTTAAGAAAGTCGTAGACAAGTTGATCCTCGCGCGCGACTTGGACATTTACATCGAAACGACCTTCACATTACAGTCATTATCGCAATCAAGAAGTCGGTATGGGTCGCGTTTCTCCGGGATTGCGAAGAGCGAAAGGAGAACGCTCGAACATTGCCGACTTACTTACTAATGAATCCCCCCCTCCTCGGTCGATTTCAGAGACGAGTAATTGTAATGCGACCGAATTAAGTCTGAAAGAGAAGAAGAAGTATGAAGTGCAAACGACAATTTTCCGCGACGGAAACACTACGGCACCCATGTAACGGTTCCGGCAATTACGGCGAATTATATTAACCACCCTCGCGCCTCACACCATCTTTCCCTCTCTTTCCCCTGCCCCCCTCCCCCCTCCCCCTTCCCTTGCCGCCATCCTCAAAATCGTCGGTGATGCATTCCACGCTCGCACGATCCGACACCCTCGTCGAGGCTTGTTATTCGGGCTCAAGAACTCGCGCGAAACTAATTCCAAGCCGCAAGGCAGAGAAGTCGACTTTAATGACTGTCGAAAAGTTACATACGTCCCTCTATCCAGGTCGAACTTACAGGGGAAGATCCTAACTGAGAAAGGATCGTTTACCGGACCTACCCAAAGTGCGTTCCCATACGCCATGACATATATATATTATTTCATATTGATTTATTACAAGAGTTCAAATATACAAAATTCTCGAATTAATCGATACAGAAATGCTAGTTACTATACATGCAGTTGCTCACAGAATTAATCAAGTTTTTTAGAAACTTTATATGAATTTTTAATGTAACGAAAAAGAAGGAAAAACAGAAAGAAAGTATGTAAACAGAATTTTTTATTGCTTTTTATTATCAATAAAATATAGATAAAATATATTTTTTTAGATAATATTTTGAAAGTTTTTCGAAACATTTGATCAACTTTGTGAGTCATTGTATTTTTATCTACCATCTCGAATTTTTATTAAAGAAGCTTGAGAAAAAATTATATTGATAAATTTATTAATTTTATGAGTTTGTAATGTTGTGTGTGAGATATTAAAATAAAGTCTCATTAATTTATAAACTTACGGAACTGAATCCCATGACTTTTAAAAGCCAGACGGTAAGAGCGAGGTTGAGAATAACGATGACCATGAGGGTCAACACGAGGGAGTAAAGACATCTTTTCCTCCAGCCGTAGACACCTAATCTGAAGCCGCTTTTACACGGCGTGGTACCGGAAGCGCGCTCCTCCAAGGCGGAAGTTGACGTTCTCGAGGACGATCCCGCCATTTGCCGCGCTCCACCGCGGCGACTCGCACTACCGGAAGTGCAAGGCTCGTCGGACCATACCCCTTGGCCCCGTGACATCCTAGAAATATAATTTAAATGTATTGAACAAAATTTAAATATATCAAAAATATATGCGATAAAAAATTCTTTTTCTTCAAGATCTTTAATTTTTTTCTAAATATAAGATTAATAATTGACATTAAAATTAATTTATTTAGTTTACGAGATAAAATCTCTCTCTTTCTCTGAATTTTTGAAAAAAGTTATTCAAATTGTGACAAGTGGATATAAGTTTTCAGATTTATTTCAACAAGAGAGAGAATTCACATTTTTTTTAAATAATTGATTTATTCTGTGGATATTGTGTTTATCGCGTTCATACTTTGAATACCGTTGAATACCTTCGTGCACGTTCTCGTGCTACTAGCGATTTCACGCCGTAAATTGGCAGATTACGGTTGCGAGATACAAACGAGATGCGTGTTATAGCTACAGGTCGTTACAGCGTGCAGTTGCGAGCCATTAATAAGACTACAATTACGAGGCTGTTCTTTCTGCCGTGATCATTTATCAACGGTTTATACCTCATTCTTGAACACCGGCTGCGCGGAATTGTTCGGAGAGGCGAAATGCGTCACGAAAGACAGATCTTCCGTTTTTTTTTCCCTTCAACAACGTGAGATACTTTATATCAGACGTGTACGGCTTGTAAAAGAAATATATTTTAAATATATTTTAATTATAAATACATTTTCCAGATATTTGTATAGTCTAATATTTGGAAGAATACTTTAATTCTGTTTACACACATAAATCATTTTTAAGCTCGAAATATTTGACGTAACATCACTGCTAAATCGCGAATCAGCAACTTAGTAATATACTTTAACTCGGAAATAAAATAGCTTGTCGGATTAGAGAGGTATAGAAGTTCAGACGTGTACGGCTTGTAAAGATGAACTCGCCGAAGATCACTTCGCGAAGTTTTTTTCCCTTTTAATTTGCCACTATTATCGGCGCGTACTCAAATGTAACATTTTTATGAGCATCCTACAAGCTTATGTTATAAATTAATTCACCGGAAGGAAAATGTAATATTATAAATTAAATTATCGGAAGGAAAATGTAATCAGTACACGTATTCACTTGTAACGACATTACAGCGAAAAAATACTTTTGGGATATATTACATTGATTATGCATTCGGCGAGCATTTGCATATCGATGCAATTCATTTTCGCTGGCCGTCCCCTCGTTATATTAACTATGACGATAAAATAAATCTGCTGACTTTTACAACATGAGAAGAAACCAACATTACACTTTGAGTCACTCATTAAATATCACATCTTGCGATCGTTCTTCATTTATTATAACGATAAACTGGCTCGCCGACTTTTAAAAAATAGAGCAATGTTTCTTACTTTAAAATTCTTTTCTACGAATTTATATAAATCTTTATTAGCTGTAAAAGGAAAATATATTCTCATTTTTATACATTAATGACAGAAATTGTATTGATATAATATTAACAAAAATCTATAAAAATATATTTTAATTCTATAAATATA